ATATATATATGATACAATGACTTGCCATACAATCATTATACAAAACAGCCTGACATATTTTTATGTGATTCAATGGCCTGACATAAATTGTTAATTATATGATGCAATGGCCTGCTATACATATTTTAAGCTAGACATTATTCCTATAAAAATAAGCTAAATGTGTATTTAGAAAAAAGATTTTGGGTTTTCAAATGTTTACTGCCTTAAATATTTTTTAAAACAAAAACATCTATTTTTAACATGAAATACATTTTTAACAGATCTGATGATGCTCTGCTGCATGGTGGGTAATGTTGAACATCAAGAGTCTGCAGTAATATTAAAGTCGTGCTACATCAATAGAAATACTTTGAGATTTTTTTCTTGTTTAAAAGATCACGCAGATTGGGACATTTCTCAGCTCCTTGTAAAAAAAGTGAACAAAATAAAAACATTCTCCTTGTTTCAAGTAAAAAATAGCAACCTTTTTTTATTCTTCTCCTCTTTCTTCCAGCTCGTAAATCAGAGCACTTTGTAACCTCAGAGCCGAACCAGCATGAAGAGGCTGCGGGTGCAGCTGCAAAGAAAGCATCTCCTCTTTCTTGGGACATTAAGTGGAGTTTTTAAAGCCACTCAGTCTTCATAATAATGGGACAAAATTATCTATACTTTCTTTTAATTTTAATTTTCTAATTTCTCAGCTGAATTTCCTGTAGAATCCCACCTTTACAATTGAATGTATACATAAAATATTGTGTATTTGACAAACTAGGTCATATTTTCAACAGTTCTGGACATTTTGTAAGTGCTGTAATCCAAATGTGTGTTTTCCTGAATTATAGAGTGAATTTAGTTTTATTTTTTTTAATCCGTTCATTTAAAAACAAAATAATCTAAACTTGATTCTTCCACAAGGACTTACCTACTGTATGGTGAGTCATGACTTCAAAAAGAGACTGGATCTTTCAAAACATCAGTCACTGGATCAGATTTGTAACCACTTTAGGAAATTTACATCCTTTAAGTTTGAATTTTTACATGGATGGATACACCTCTTGTAGAAAATAGCACATGTAAATGTACATTTTGTAATTCTGTATTAGTGGAAACAAAATTAAACAGGAGCTTTTATCTAGCAGAGGAACTAAAGATATGCAGATGTAAAAAACATGTGAAGACTAAGACAACTCATCAATTTAGATGAGTGTAAAATATATCATGTAGTTTACATATGTGATATAGTTGTGGTTTTGGTGACTTTAAAATGACTTTTAAAATAGGGAGTTATTTTCATGAATGTGACTGCTAATATCACACACGCTAAGGTTACATGTGTATAAAAACACTCCTATTGTTGAGTTCTTCATGTTTTCCATTCATCCGTTTTATTTCATTCTCAAATTCAGTTCTTCTCACAGTCACTAATACCTGTTCTGATGCTTATCATTACTTTAGTTTTTTGACAATTGATTAATTCAGTAAATGTCTTTTGCAGATTTGCACAACTCTCACCTTTATTTTTCCCTCTAAATGCAGTATGTGTAAATATGTAAGTCATTGGTCTGTAGTTAATGTTCTGCAAGTTCTTCCTAAAAAAATAGAAAAGTCCATTATACATAATTATAGCACAAAAAGTACGGACCTGTGTGTTTGGTAGAGTATTTCTTTGTCGTAACAATGCTTCTAATCACATACTGTTGGAAAGCCCCATAATTTCCCTTGCAAATGGTGCCACATTTGTAAGGAACATGCATTTGTGCGACGAGCAGTAGAGCAGAGTTTGTGTGTTGCACATGTGAGCAAATAGCCAACTCTTCTTTGCCAAACAGCTTTATTTTGTTGTTGCTTTAAACATTTGTTTTGACCTTCTGGTACTCCCAGGTGCTGCCAATCAGGTGCCACTATAAGAAGTATTGTTACAACAAAGAACTAATCGACCAAGCACACAGGTCCTTACTTTTTGTGCTATACATCCATATTTAAATTCACTTTTAGTGACATCAATGCTAGTTTTCTTTACTCACCATCAGTGGTGGACAGTAATGGAGTACATTTACTTGAGTACTGTAATTAAGTACATTTTTGAGTATCTTTACTTGAGTAATTATTTTTTGGGGAACTTATGCCTTCCACTCCACTACATTTTAAAGACAAATATTTTACTTTTTACTCCACTACAATTGGGCTCAGCATAGCTTTGTGATCCACTTTTGCTGTTTTCATTTCTTGAAATGCGTTTGGCCACATGTTATGTTTCTCACAAGGGGAACCAATCACAGTCATAGCTCACACCTGGGATAGATTTGGAATTACGTCATCCTCGTTAACAGTGGTGAGCTGAGCTCCCACCTTCATTTCAAACAGAACCCAGCAATGGAGACGGTCGGAGAAACTCAAGTGGAGAAACCAGAGCAGCATGGCCATATCACAGCTCAACGTTTGAGATTTTAGGACTGAAAAATAGTTCAGTTTTACTTGTAGTTGAGTAAGAGTTACCATGAGTATCTGTACTTTTACTCAAGTACTAGAGTTGAGTACTTTGTCCACCACTGGTCACCATATACACTCACCAGCCACTTTATTAGGTACACCTGTCCAAATGCTCAAAAATGCAAATGTCAAATTTAGCCAATCACATGGCAGCAACTCAATAGGCATGTAGACATGGCCAAGACGATCTGCTGGAGTTCAAACTGAGCATCAGAACGAGGAAGAAAGGTGATTTAAGTGACTTTGAATGTGGCATGGTTGTTGGTGCCAGACGGGCTGGTCTGAGTATTTCACAAACTGCTGATCTACTGGGATTTTCACCCACAACCATCTCTAGTATTTACAGATAATGGTCTGAAAAAGAGAAAACATCCAGTGAGCGGCAGTTCTGTGGGCGCAAATGCCTCATTGATGCCAGAGGTCAGAGGAGAATGGTCAGACTGGTTTGAGTTGATAGAACGGCAACAGTAACTCAAATGACCACTCGTCACAACCGAGGTCTGCAGAAGAGCATCTCTGAACACACAACACATCCAACCTTGAGGAAGAGGGGCTACAGCAGCAGAAGACCACACCGGGTGCCACTCCTATCAGCTAAGAACAGGAAACTGAGGCTACAATTCACAGACTCACCAAAACTGGACAATAGAAGATTGGAAAAACGTTGCCTGGTCTGCTAAGTCTCGATTTCTGCTCCAACGTTCAGATGGCTGGGTCAGAATTTGGCGTCAACAACATGAAAGCAGCATGGATCCATCCTGCTTTGTATCAACGGTTCAGGTTGGTGGTGGTCCAATGGTGTCGGCGATATTTTCCAGTCAATCTTTGGGCCCATTTGTTAGGATTTGGTTTTGGTGTGTATGTGTGTCTCTTACCTTGTCCTACAGAGTCTGAGAGTTGGTGGGCGGAGCTTCAATTACTCACCTGTCCTGGATGATGGCTGATGAGCTGGGCTGACTATTTAAGCTTCTGGGAGAGATCCATTCCTCGCCGGATTATTCAGTAACCTTGGTACTGTTTAAAACCATAGGCCTCAGTTATCTCTAAGTGTGAAACTTTCTAGTAAATTAATCTCCTGTGTTTTTCTATAAGGAATCTTCAAGTAGAGTCGTTGACTCACCTACCTTGGAACTCAACTCCTCGTGCCTGGATCTCCAACCCCGTCAGACCTCAGCCAAAGCCTCTGCCTCTCCGCCTACCTTGGAACACACTCTCAGACCTGGAAAACAAGAGCACACCGAAATACTCACCTCCTGGATTCATCCTGCCTCTCCTTCCGAGTCTGCCTCCATCTCCTAAACCTGTAAGAAAACAAACTAAACATTATCTTCTGCAACAACTCTCCTGTGGAACCATTSTAACTACTTCCCCTTACCTTTCAGGGAAATCTCTGGAACAAACCCACTGTAAATAAACTCACTTACCTTTTATACCCTGTCTCTGAGTATTGTCTGGTATTGCTTGAAATTGAGTACTAAACTTTACACCCAAACCTGATACCATTAGTACCAATTGAGCATTGCCACAGCCTACCTGAGTATTGTTGTTGATTATGTCCATCCCTTTACGACCACAGTGTACCATCTGATGGCTACTTCCAGCAGGATAACGCTCCATGTCATAAAGCATGAATCATCTCAGATCGGTTTCTTGAACTTGACTCGAATGGCCTCCACAGTCACCAGATCTCAGTCCAATAGAGCACCTTTGGGACGTGGTGGAATGAGAGATTCTCATCATGGATGTGCAGCTGAAAAATCTGCAGCAACTGTGGGATGTTATCATGTTAATATGGACCAGACTCTCTGAGGAATGCTTCCAGTACCTTGTTGTATCGATGCCACAAATGATTAAGGCAGTTCTGAAGGCAAAAGAGGGTTCCAACCCGGTACTAGCAAGGTGTACCTAATAAAGTGGCCGGTGAGTGTATGTTCAGGTCTGTTCTGCTCTTTGGACTGGCAGCTTAAGCAAATATGTTTTATGTTTTAGAGCTGGGGTGTCCAAGCTTTTTTAGTGAGGGCCAAATACAGAAAAATAAACAAAGGGCTGGGCCACACACTAGAAGTGACATATTGATACATCAATAATGTGTGTTTTTCTAACACACCTTTGAGAAGAACATTACACTCAGTGGGAGCAGTGATGCTGTCCTTTGGATTGAAGGATGGCTGAAATGTTAGGAGAAAGTTTGGTGGTTGAGACACGAAGGACTTCACAGAGATGGCTATCAGTCATTCTGGTTCTCAGTCTGCTTTTGTTCTGATTTAACAGAGAAAATGTTTGTTCACATATGTATGTTGAGCCGAACAGGCTCATCATTCTTTTTGCGTGGCGTCTCATCAGAGGACACTTGGCATTATCCAAACTCTGACAGAATTCAGTATGGGAGAGAAGCTAATATTGACTCTTCAGAGAATCATCACATTGCATATCAATCAGTTCTAACTGCAGACACTATTCCACTTTGTCTGCATCCACCAGGAATGGGGTTGAAAACAGCTTGATTTGTTCTTCAATTCCAGAAAAATCTTGGAAACGCTGGTTGAATTCTGTCATGAGAGATTTAATCACAGACACATATTTCTCCACAAGCTTTGTCTCCCAGCTGAAGTTTCAAGTTAGCCGACAAGTCCTCAATTCTCCGCACCACCGTATTTCTGGATAAGCTCACATTGTTGAAATCAGGCACTTTTTCTGGGCACATTATTTCTGTGACTTTGATGAGACACTGCTTTATGAAATCACCATCTGAAAACAGTTTGCCGTGCTGGGCAATAAGTTTAGCAACTTCATAACTTGCTGTTGTGGCATTTTCCTGTATTTTGTTAGCAGTTTTCATAATGCCGACGGATATTATGTTGTTTCATCACAGCTAAATCTTCACTGCAAATCAAACATACACACTTTACGTTGATTTCTTTGAAAAAATACTAATTTTCCCACCGTGTTTGAAATCTCCTACACTCACTTGCTATTTTTTGTTTCTTCGGCACCGCCATTTCTGGAGACTCAAACGGAGTGTCGCAGTCACAAAAAGTTTCTTCTTCTCTTCTCTTTATAATTCCATTTCTGTGGCTGGCTCCATCCAGTGTTGAAACTGAGAAGTGCAACGGTGTTGAGCTGAAAATTCGAGGTACACTTTGCTGCAGCATGCAGAATGGGGCGGGGACGGACCTTTCCGTCACTATTGCATTCCGGAAATGAAGGTTGCTCCTTAAAGACGCGGGATTAAGAGAGCAAAGGAAGAAGAAAACCCTAACCCTAACCCTAACCCTAACCGTTACTGTACTATAATTTTAATATCCAAAAACAACAAAGATTTAATAAAGATTTGAAAATGAAAAAGGGACATACCACGTGACATAACACGTTTTGTAGCCATTTCCTTACTGTAAAATTTGTATTTTTAATGTTGATAGTGTTCGATAGAAAATAGTGTCACTAGCGCCCCCTTCATGTTCGGAATGCAATAGTCCCATTTCCATTTAAGGTATGGGACTGACGGAAAGGTCTGTCACCACCCCGTTCTGCATGCTGCAGCGAAGTGTACTTGGAAAATTCTTGTGCGGGCCATGTTCAATTATATTTTCAGAATTTGCTGCAGGCCAATAAAATCGGTACGGCCCACGGGCCGTGGTTTGGACACCCCTGTTTTAGAGTGATTTTACCATAAAAAGGCATAACTTATTCTTCTGTTTCATTTCAATAAAATGGCGACCCTTTCAACATGATGAAAGTCAGGTCTACATATTTTTTCAACAAAGAAAATCTCTTTTTTTCTACAACAAGCTGTTGTAGACAGTTTGTGTTACACAACAAACATATGTCTTTTAGGAAACATCCCAACCCTAGTTGTTGAGTTTTCACTCAACCCACTTGACCAGAATTTTGCTGTGATATTTTAAAAAAATCACTAAAAACTTACATTTTACCCCACATACTTTATTGGCAAATCCAAAATTAGCATGCAGACATATCATTCTTGAAAGAAAGAATTTCACAGAATAAACAGTTTACCGTTAATAGATTTTTTGCTTGAATGAGTTCACAGAAAGCAGGCCAGAGACACGTTACATGAAAAGCTGCAGCTCTGTCATAAATCTATTGTAAATTAATTAGAAGTTGATTGTGCATGTGTGCTTTAATTCATCACATTTGCTTCTAATGTGTTAACTTTCACTCATCCCAGAAGTTTGTGTTGTTTAAAACAACCACAGTTGTGTAACTGACATCTTAGTTTCCCACATTTTCATAGTTAGTTGTGAAGCTTTATTTTAACTTTTATTTATTTTCACCTTTAATTTACCTATAGCAATAAGCACCGTAAAGGTGTATTGTTTTGTCGGGGAATCCGAATGAGCGCACCCCCGCTTCTGGGATACCGCCACAATTTTTCCTTGGGTTGTTAATGGGAAACCGGACGCTGCCGTCTTTGAGCCAACCTCCGTCACACTGGTCGTAGTTTTGGAAACGCCAGGCGGCGTAAAGCTGGCCGACCAAAGCCAATTCAGCTCCCTGATGTTTGCAGGCGTTCACGGCCTGCTCAAAGGCGAAGGACCCAGATATGTAGAAGACAGAGCCTGTGATACCAGAAGAGATCATTTTGTCAATTTGCAGTTTTATACATATAATCACAAGTTGATTATTGGTGTAATTTACAACAACCACATTCCAGTCTTACTAAATGTTAAAGTGGGAGGGACGCTATGCTTTTAAGGTTATGAGTGAAAAAGATACCTCTTGGTATTATCCCCTCTTTTTTGATCCCTTTATAAGCATAGTAAAAATTAAGTTTCTTTTCAGACTTACCTACTGTCTGAGAAGTAAAACAGAAAGCATCAAACCGATCACGGTTTTTATCTTTTGACCCATAACTACGAATGCCTGGGGGCAGATTTCCTCCACAGACTGGTCTGGGATGAACGATGGGATAATTAACTGTTCCATCATGAAGCCAGCCTGCGTTGCACCAATCCAGCCCCTCGGTCCAAGCTGCAGGAGGAGACAGGGTGATGCGACAGAGCCAACACTGTTTACAGTTAGGGATGCTTCAGTGCGCGGTACCTCTGTAGAGCTGGCTGAATGTGGCCAAAACACCATCTTGCTCGGCACAGACCTCTTTGGCTTCATGATATGTAAACTTGTAGCGGCCATTTTTACTTTGATATGGGAAGATGACACCTGGAGACAAAGTTATTGTTTGTTTACACCAAGCCCTTGTACATAATAGCCCCGATGGAGGTAAAGACACACATTTTACAGCACCATAGCACATAGAACATACTTCACCCCTGCACAAGAGGAACTTAATAAAGAAGAAAACAGTCAGCATCATAGCAGATAGTTGCTTCAATTACCTGTAATCCTCAAAGTAATGAGAACATTCTCATCCTCTATGCCATTTATCAGCTCACAGCGATACCTGCCACCATCTTCCAGTTCAAGATGGCTGAGCTGCAGAGAGGCGTCCATGGTGTGGGCCCCCCGGAGAGAAGCCCTCTGACCAAGATGACCGTACGCCTTGAAGGCCTTTGCGTTTGATATAATGATGATGTTCTCTTGGCCGTTGAGCCCATGCTCCAGTTTTGTCCATTTGATTTTGAAATGTCTTGGTTTGGTTCTGATGATGCACGGCAAAGTGACATTATCTCCCCTTCGGCCAGCGACTTCTACATGGACCGGCGGCTCAAGGAGATACTGGAGCTTCTTTGGGGTATTTGATACTGAGGGTGAAACATTATTAGCAATAAAACAATAAGACCAATAAAAATCTTTTTAAACAATGTATTTAGTAGCAAACAAAAACAGGATCTCTGACCATTAGTTTGTGGGTAGGAGTACACTACAATTCATTTTAAAAAGGAAGAAGAATAAACAAACTGACAACCTATAAGCCAAAAAGGTCCAGTTATAAAAATTCTCTTTTCTTAAAACTAAAAAATATACATTTTTCCCATACTGAATCCTGAATTCACAGTAACATGCTTGCATTTGTATTTTTCTTAGGATATATTTTAGGGGTGCAACAATACATGTATCTGTATCAAACCATTCAATACACACTATGGATTGAACAATACAGATTTTTAAAATTTATTTTATCAACTTGCCTTCTGAAGATGTGCTGTGTTGAAGGATCAGTGGCTCTGTGTTCGACTACTCCACCTATGCATTGTTGAAATGTCCACTGAGAAACTTGCTGTTTCAGCAACTTTTAATTTAAAGGGGCAATATTATGAGTTTCTCAGGCATACATTTAAATACTATACCATAATAAAGTATCTATGTCACCTTTAGTTGTTATTAAAATGCTGTTTTTGTGTTTAAATAGAAAATAAACTTATCTTCTCATCACTTCCTCTTCTAAATGCCTTGAAATTGGCCTCTGTCTCTTTAAGAACCACCTTCTGCTTCTGTCCCGTCCTGTTCAGTGGTGGTGGTGGTGGTGGTGGTGGTGGTGGTGGTGGGGGGGGCTTGCGCGGGGGCTTCGTGTGCGCTATGATGCTGTTTACTTGGCATCTGGAAATATATTTCCTCAAAGGTATTTTGAATTTGAAAAGAGCTTCGTTGAGTGAGAAATAGTGTTGAGAGCAGCAGACAGTTAAGTTTCATTTTCAGTTTGCTTTTTTTTTTGCTGCCGAGAGCCTGCAGGAGTCATGGGTGTGGTGTTTGGGGTGGGGGGGGTGGGAAGGTGTGCTCTGTGATGAGGAAGTTCAGCTTAAAGACACGCTCCAGGGGCGTTTCTGGTCCCCACCTGTTGTTTTGCTCCTCAGCATGGCTTCCTAAAAACGCTGCAGGATTTCTCAAACATGCATGAATGAGTCAAAGCAAGGCTTTAGGCATGTTTTTTATGAGAGTATAACATTATAACATGATATAAAACTCAAAAAAGTTGATTTTACKTGATATTGCCCCTTTAAGAACTATACTTTTAAGGTTAAACAAATGTTCATAATTTATTTTAATAAATTACAAGTCAAGAAGGGCATGGAAAAATATCTGTTTTGTATCGAAATAAGATCGAATTGTGACACTAAAGTATCGAACTGAACCAAATCATGAATTTTTTTTTTGTATTGTTGCACCCCTAATATGTACGTAGTTTTCTTATTAAGGTTTTCAAATATTCCTTGTTTGATGATTTGTATGAAAATGAGGAATTAAAATGTCTACCTGCTCTGTTTGGGGCATACAGAGCTGAAGACGAGGTGAAGCTGTTTGCTGTTAAAAAAAGAAACACAGCAAAGTTCATTTGGAAGGTCGCCATTCTCTCTGCTCCTGCAAAATCCCAAGAAAAAAAATGTTCCTGTGATGCAAGGTTCAAAAAACAAGTTAGTGTCTCCTCAATTTTTTGCAATTGATCCAACTTAGAATGAGTATAACTAAATTAATTAGTACGTATTGTGTCAATTTTAATTAAAAAAATCTTATTTTAATATTGTCAAACCTGCGTGACTGAAGCAGTTGTTTCCAGTTGTCCATTCATTCCCAATGAGCGTATATTAAAATCCTCCTGTTAGGAAACTGCTGGATAGCTCATGTTCTTATTCATCTTCACTCTTTATTTCCACCAGTTTCTCAGTCCAAATGCTGAATGTCCATCCGTCTGTCACTCCCACCCGTGTCTTTTCTTACTCTGGTCATATGGTCCACTCTGTGATCAGCAGTAAACAGGACTGTTGTCCTCTCTGCTCCAGATGTTAATGACCATTCACAGGCTGGGCTTTTGTTTACTTCATTCCCAGTGTTTATTCAAATTCTGATCAAATTTAAATTAGAATACATTTATCTGAAACTATTGTTTAGTGAAACCACTTAGGGCTGAGTGGCTACAATGACGCAGTTTTTTTTCCCCAGTCAATTTACACATATTGTTACAAAAACAATTCACTTTCAGAAATTTTTCAAAGCAAATTGTTTTGGATATTCATACCAGTTCATGTATTCTTGTTTTGATTGATGCTACATTTTCAAATAACATTGCAATTTATGTAAAAAAAAAAAAAGGATAAGTTGTGTGACCTGTGTCATTAACCCTGTAAACACCTCATCAGGTGATCTGGCTGACTTTAGACCAAACTTATTAACGTCAGACATGGTTTTTAGATTTCTTTAGATTTGTTTGACAAAAACAACAATAATTTCAGCATGCCGAATACATGAGTTGTGACAACTCTCCACTATCCTGGAAGATCACCAGGTTTGTGTCTTTCACAATATCACACTCATGTTAGAAAGCAAAACACTTCTCTGATTTCTTGTTTTCTGGAGAAAGCCTGCCCCCATGAACTTGCTAAAGGCAACACAGCCAGGAATTGGCTGATTTATTAAATAACTACGGTGAGAAATGACAGGTGTAGACTTGTTAGTTTAAATTTGGTTCTTTAGGTAAATAAATGCACATAATAGCTGGCATCCTATCACAAATTTAAATAGGAAGTTTTTTAATTAATTTAAGTTACAATAACCATCTGTTTAAGTAAAATAGTTTTTTTGTCTGCTCTGCATGACTGAATACCTTTAAGGTCACATATAAGTAATTTTCACTTTACCTTAATAACCACGAAAATACATAAAAAATGTCCTTTATCAGCATTTACCATCTTATCCACCAATCAGTAAATATAAAGCATGAAAAAGAATCAATCTAAAAGTGTCACGCAAAAAAGATATGCTGACGGATATGTCAAATATTAAGCAGTTAAGCAAATTGTAAAGTTTTTTGTCACAAATCCTATACAGTTCAGTGATGAGGCATTTCTGCAGACAACAAGCCTGTCTGTGCTTCCCCATCCTTCCCAGAGAACCGTTGCCAAACAGCACTTTTAGTGTACATTCAACCATCTTTGTTTTTGCCCACACGGCTATGGGGGTGGGGGTGGGGGG